CTTCGTAGGACTCTATCCCTTACGGATAACATCTATTTCGGATTAAGGATAACATCTATTTGAGATTCCTCTAATCCATATTAGAATATACTCTTTTAAGAGTCTCATTTCTATTCAAATAGAGAGCGTGAATCGTCTAAGACTCTCGTATTCTATCTGAATATATCAAATTCTGATATAATCACATCATATCTCATCAACGTGATCTATCTACGTGACACCTCAATTAACAATTTTGACCATGTGACAATTCTGAAAATATATCTCCACATATATAATGCAGGATCAATTACGACTTATTGGGTCCTCACTATGAAATAAGGAACCTAGACATTGGTTTTATTTTATTTTATTTTGTGTGTGTGTGTGTATAGAGTTGGCGGCTTTGCCAAGCACTATTTTGGTCCCCTTTTTTGGTTTTTCCTTTTTTTTTGATCAGCAAAGAAAAATTTCATTAATCAACATGAAATTAAAGGTACAGGAAGATGAGAAACACTGAGAGAGAATCGGAAGGTACAAAATACCCCTACTACTGCTACTCACAATCATACAACCAACCCCTTCGCCTCACGATTTTTTTTTTTAAACAAAAAAACGTTAAGAAGGACTTAACAAAAAATAAAAAACATGATTCCACAAAATCAATCCACCAAAACACCCAAACATGGTCCCCTTTTTTGGTTTTTCCTTGGTTGCAACTTGCAAGCTTATTGTTAGACTGCTTTAGTTTCCTTGAATTGGAATCGTTGTGCTTCTTCCATGATGCACCCTTTTATTAACAAATAATTTCTTTATTTTTTTTTTATTATTTTTTTTTGGTTGATTGGAAAAATTATCAATTTATCTCATAGTCAATATTACACCTGAGTAGTAACTTATGGCTTTGAGAGAACAGTCCGACCAATGAATTTATGCCACTTTTGGATCTAACATTGGGTTTGTAGTTTCATTTTGTATTTTTTAATTTAAAAACTATTAATTTACACAAAATGTTACTGTGGCTAGCATTTACAACTCAGCCAGTATCTCCAGTTCAAGTCTAAATTGGAGACAATCTCATCACTAACCAAACTATTATGATTAAAACCACTAAACCAACACGATAAGATATGATATGATAAAAAAAAGGTTAGAATCATAAGAAAAAAATACCACTATTGGACCAAACCAATATCACCATGAGGCATAATTTTCATACCATATTCATTCATAACAAAATTTATCACTTTAAATTATAACTAAGAAGAAGAGGAGCAATCCTACATCTCCTAATTTTGTCACCTCAATTTTACTCATAATGACGTGGCTCACTCTCACGTGAAGCGATTACACACTCATTTCTCTCATCTTTAATCAGTACAAAAAATTAAGATTTTAGAGTTCAAAATTTAGGGACAAAATTATTTTTTAGGGACCAAATATTTTTATTCCTTAAAGTGTCGTTATTATATTTTTAGTAACGAAAATTGGGCATTCGTGATGAATTACTATCTTTTTGTGACCAAATTTTTTGTCTAAAAGAATAAACCACTTTGAGACCACATTATGTTGTCCCTAAAAGTCTATTTATTAGTGACATTTTCAAAATTTTGTCGTTAAAAGTCTTGTTTTTGACTTTTCGGGACGATCCTTTAGCAACTATCCTCATGACGATAAAAATTGGTTCATAAATGTCTTTTGTAACAAAATTTTCACTTTTAGTCTCTAAAATTCTTATATGTTGTAGTGAAATCTCCTTACTTCCATATCATTGCACGTGGAATTGGAAGAGTAATACGGGCATTACTCTACGTATATCACCACCTAACGTGGAGGACAAACATTTTTCAACAAAATGAAAAGACGAAACAGGTGGGAAACAGCATGTGATACATATGGATACTACAATAATAAACAAATGATTGTGTATGTAGGTACATCTATATATGAATCATACATTTTTGTCCAAACTTTCTGCTTCGAATCTTTCTGTTGTTCATATACGGACAGTTTTTTCTTTTCTTTGTTTGTGTTTTTTTTTCCCTGTCCCGTAAACATTGATCAGCGATTAAGGTTTCTTGTAGCACACGACCTATATATTTTTATAGTATTTAATAAAAAAAAAAATTAACAATTAAATATGATTATCCTCTCATGAAATTAGTACATTATCTAACAAAACTTGCATTAGAATCAATGCGCAGCCAACAAATTGGCTTATTTGTGAGAACCTTTGGAACTCAATACGAAGTCAAAGGATTGAACCTAGGAGTATTTACGCACAAGTTTTAATTTATAAATTTATACTCCATTAAGTTTTAACTAAGATTTTTTTGATCTTCAACTCCCATTAAATTTTTAATAGTCGAAATTATACTTAAAATAATGATTGTTTATCATTTGTGATATCTATAAAGGAACATAATAATTTGACATTTATTTTGACTTTTAAAACTTTAATACATTAACTTTCAAATTGAGAAAATTAAAATATATATATATATATATATATTGAAAAAGCTAAATTACTTTTTTGTGTAAAACTGAAAATTTTGTGTCTAAAAAGGAGCATGTTGATGGAACATTGATGTGCAAAATTGAAAAAAAAAAAACTTTAAAAATGAAAAAAACTGATAATGTTCTCGTTTTTAAAACTAAAAAAATTGATAATCTTCTCGATTTTATTGGATAGTTGAATCAAACCATTAAGTAGAAAGACAAAAATGTTTAATCTCATGCTCTCTCTTTCATCATCAGTTAGTAAAATAATTATTTGGAACATTACTATGCAAAATTGATAATATTCGTAGTTTTAAAAATTGGAAAAAAAATGATAATAATTACTAAATATGACTTTGTTCAAAAAAATTTAGATAAGACTTGAATTACCATAACATTTGTAAATAGGATTTTTAAGTAATTAACTCTTAAATCTGTCATATGTATGAGTTTTATTTCTTCTAAGTACTTATTTGAAATTTTACTTTGAAAAGATTTCTTTTGTTTACTCGCTTTCTAGATGATCCATTTAGAAGATGGTGATTCTAACAATCTTTTGAATTCCTTGGTTCTTTATTTCTATTTGACATAATTCTAAGAAAAAGGAATTTGTTTCAACCTAATTAAAACCATATGTCGACTTCTCTAATAAACCAAAGTCATTGTTTAATAATTATTTTGCTTCAATTTCTTGGGTACAAATTGAAATTTTGAAGATTTAGTTACGATTATAAGTTTACTTTTCTATCTTCATTTGTGGATCTTTTACCCATACCTATTCAATTAATTTATTGAATTTTATTGTGATATGATATATTAATTAAATAAAAATTACTCGTCTTATGGATTATAGACTATGCGCAAATTCTAATGAATTAAATATCTCAGTCCAAGAAAGCGGTTTCATGGAGAAATGATTCTTTTATCAAGAAAGTTTGAATCCTCTAAAGAAAATTATAAAAATCAAATACTATCAAAAAAATCTCACAATTAAAGTGAAATTTTATTATAGGAAAGTAAGTATGATAAAAAATATAATATTTACTAATTAGAGAACCCCATTTATCTATGAGATTCGAATATACGAAATACACAACTTATCTAAAGCCACCAAGCCCTTAACATTTAAGAAGTTTTGAGAAAGTGGAGAAATATGAATTACCATGATCACAACCCCAGCCCCAAGTACTATTTTTTTTTATCAACAAGGAAGAAAATTTTATTGATGATAAAAAAACCTTACACGTAAGGGGGAAAAAAAAAAAAATCAACAAAAGGGGGATGATGCAAAAGCCATCATAACGAGACAACTCAATCCCAATTAGGTCAGCACTAAGCAACTCGCACAATCACATGATAGCATCGATCCCAACCCCAACTATTATGACACTACCTTCTCGGTATGCCATAATTGCTATTTGATAGTTTTTTTTTTTGAATTTATTTATTAACTATACATTATATTTGGTCTCATCATGATTACAATTTATTAAATTTTTCTATAATATGATACATAATTTAAATAAAAAATCACTTATCCTATGATTCATAGACTATGAGCAAACTCTAATGAATTAGGATATTCAATCCAATTAGCAGCTTGACGAATAAATGATTCTCATATGAAAATAGTCTGAATCTTCTAAAGTTAATTATAATATTAATTAATATAAAGATTTTCTTTATTGATTAAAGTGAAGTTATTTTTGCTTAAGTGCTGTATGCTGCAGGATTGTTTTCTTCTTGTTTTGTTTTGTTGGTTTCTCACCAACTGGAGGTTGGAGCTTCAATTAGTTCTAACCTCCTCTTTATTGATGTTCTGTATCTCTTTTACATACTTACATCAATAAAGATTTTCTTTGCCGATCAAAAAAAAAACAAAACAATTTATACAAATTTAAATTCTGCAAGTATTAACTAATAAGTTTAGCCTCACAAAACCACCTAAGACATGAGCCAATGGCAGTTTGCCAACATTATATATATATATATATATTATTGGATTTTATTGTAATATAATATATTAATTAAAAAATTTCTTATCTTATGAATCACAGGCTATGAGTAAATTCTAGAGAATATTTTAATTTAGTCAAAGTTAATGGTTTAATGAAGAAACGACTATTTTATCGAAAGAGTTTGAATTCTTTAAAGTCAATTATAAAATTAATTATCATAAAATAATCTCACAATTAAAGTGAAATTTCATTGTAGAAAAATGAGTACAACCCTAAATTGTATGTAACAATTAACGCAATTATATATATAGAGAGAGAGAGAGAGAACGCCATTTATACAACAATAGATTCGTAGGAAACCTCTTTGTTGGTAGGAAACCCCTAAGAGGGACCCAACAAAAACAAATTAAAAAACACTAGTGGGTTTTTTAAAAGCATGATGGTTGCTAACTCCACTGGAAACGCGTTGGTGTCGTGAAATTATAAAATAGGAAGTGAGCTTTGGTGTCTTGAAATTATTCTTAACATCTCATACTCCACAGAGAGAGAGAGAGAGAGAGAGAGAGAGAGAGAGAGAGAGAGAGAGAGAGAGAGACTGAGAAAGAATGGTGAGAACTCCGAGCTTTGATAAAAATGGAATGAAGAAAGGTGAATGGAGTCCTGTAGAAGATAACAAGTTGAGAGCTTATATTCATAGATATGGTCATTGGAACTGGCGTGAACTTCCCAAGTATGCTGGTATAGATACCTCTCTATCTCTCTCTCGATGTAATTTAAAGAAAAATATGACGGTGTTTGACTTCATCACTGCAGTAAAGAAAATGTGTTCAAATACATCACTTTTCCAGATTTTTGATGATTTCAGGAATGATGTTTTGTTTTTTTGGGTACCTTGAAGCTTTTTTTCCCATAACCCTTTTTAATTTCATGTAATTCTCATTTCTGAGTAAGTAAATTTTTCTTTCTTCGCAGATAAAAAGATAAAAAAATGCATTGCTTTTCCTGAAATGCACTTAAAAGAAAGAAGTTGAACTTCTTTAAACACTGTCTTGAATAATTCTAATGGTAAGCTTATGTGGGCATGCATGAATTCTAACTTGGGTCATGTCTTTAAGGTCTATCAAGATGCGGAAAGAGTTGTAGACTGCGGTGGATGAATTACTTGCGTCCAAATGTGAAACGGGGAAAGTACACCAAAGCGGAAGACGATCTCATCATGGAATTACATGAAAAACTTGGAAATAAGTATGGATCAACTACTTAAATTAACTTCAACATTTCATCTAAATGACGAACGCAATATTGGATGTGTGCATGTCTAGTTTTATGATTAAAACAATATATGTGATGGGTCTGGTGAGTGGTGACTTTAGTGTTTTCAAGATTTTCAATTATGATAACTATGGGCAAATAAAAGTTACCTCCTATATTTTCAATCAATAACAAGCTAGCAACAAAGAGATTTATACAAGCATGCATGCATTATTTTCAATGTGTGATGAGTTAAAAAGTGATAAAAATTTTAAGTATATTATAATCTTATGTGCTTCTCTGATATGCAGATGGTCAGCCATAGCTGCAAAATTACCAGGAAGAACCGACAATGAAATAAAAAATCATTGGCATACCCATCTTAAGAAACGCATTAAAGAAAATCAATCGACATTTGAATTGAAACAGAAAGCTATTCAAATTTCTCAATCTCTAGCCAATCTTGAACTGCAATCTCATGAATCACCACGATCTGAAATCAACCAAGTGACTGATGAATTGGGCTCAAAAGACGTCACTGATGAAATATATCAGCAAATTTTAGAAAGCTCTCCATTGTCGTCCCGAGAACTGTCTTCCAGTGATTTCTCTTCCAGCATGACTTCTGATTATGCACTTTTGAGTGATAAAAACTGGGTTGGGGAAGACATCATGAGTTCATTGGAATTGTTTGAAGAGTCCGTTAGGAATTTCTGGATTGAACCAGTTTTTGAAGAATTTTCGTACCAACAAAATGGATTTTCATCAACCTTGGCTGAGGGAGAATCTATGTGTCCATGTTTTTTGGACCATGACGATGATAGCATTGAGTGGTTCCACCAGATACTGAAAGAACTTCCAGAAAACTGAAACACTTGGCATTTTAATGTGTGTTATATATAACCAGTTTTTGAAGATTTTTCGTACCAACAAAATGGATTTTCATCAACCTTGGCTGAGGGAGAATCTATGTGTCCATGTTTTTTGGACCATGACGATGATAGCATTGAGTGGTTCCACCAGATACTGAAAGAACTTCCAGAAAACTGAAACACTTTTGGCATTTTAATGTGTTATATATTTATACACATTGGTGAGTCGTACTGAGAGTCTTAGAAATAGGAATATGCATGCAATTGTAGAAGTTAGTTGCTCCAGTTTTGCTGTGTCAGAAGGGAATAAAAAAGGGATAGCAAACAAAAACTTTTATTAGTTGCGTTTTTGACATTTCTCCCCTCATTTTATCTTGCCTTTGGCTAGAGTGGGGTTAGTTTTACTATGTGAGTGTTTGGAAAGTTTACTGTTACAAAATAGATAAATATTATATTTTTTTTGTGTGATTTATGTTATTTAATTATATTTTTTAAATTTTATTAAAGTGTGATCTTTGGGAGTGTGATTAAAATGAGTGATTTTTAATCACACATTTTAAGTGTGATTAATAATATTTAGATCACACCTTTTAAGTATAATTAAAAATATTTAGATCACGAAAAAAAAAATTATACTCACTAGCGTCTCATTTGCTCTTGTGGAGATTCGAACCATCAACCCTCTCACACTATAATCCTTATACAACACACTCCTTCCACTACATCTCTATAACACTATATGATTATATATGCAACATATATCATTTATATAGTACATAGACCCATATTAATATAAAATTATATATATAAAGATAATTATTTTTTATTGAATATAATTTATGTAAAAATAAATTATTTACTAGAAATAAAAGAGACCACTTTTGGCAACTAAACATAATTTTAGTCACTAATTCTATACTTTTGGCTAATAATTATTTTTTAGTCGTTAAAAAATTTAATTCCCGGGTTAAAATTACCACTTTTGGCGACTAAACTTCTTTTTAGTCGCCAAAAAGCCTCACTTTTGGCTACTAAACATCTTTTTAGTCAATAAATTATTTACTAGAAATAAAAGAGATCACTTTTGGCAACTAAACATAATTTTAGTCACAAATTCTATACTTTTGGCTAATAATTATTTTTTAGTCGTTAAAAAATTTAATTCCCGGGTTAAAATTACCACTTTTGGCGACTAAACTTCTTTTTAGTCGCAAAAAAGTCTCACTTTTGGCTACTAAACATCTTTTTAGTAGCCCAATGCCTCAATTTTTGCTACTAAATTTTTTTTAGTCGCCAAAAAATCTCACTTTTGGCTACTAAAATTTTTTTAGTCGGTAAAAGTCTCATTTTTGGCGACCAAACATCTTTTTAGTTCCCAAACGAGGCTTTAGTCACCCAATACCTCACTTTTGGCTACTAATTTTTTTTTAATTGCCAAAAAGCCTTACTTTTGGCTACTAAAATTTTTTAGTCGGTAAAAGCCATATATGGACAACCAAATAGATTTTTAGCCTCCAAAACCTATGCTTTTGGCTACTAAATTTTTTTAGTCGCTAAAAATCTTTACTTTTGGCTACTAATGCTTTTTTAGTCACCAAAACCTATACTTTCAGTGACCAAATGTGCTTAAAGATGCTTTTTCTTGTAGTAGAGTGTGATTAAATATATATATATAATTACACTTATTTAAAAAGTGTAATTTAAACGTAGTAATGTATATATAATCACACTTTAATTAGAATGTGTGATTAAAAATATATATATAATCACACTTATTTAAAAAGTGTGATTAAAAAGTAGTAGTGTATAGATAATCACACTTTAATTAGAAGGTGTGATTAAAAAATATATAAATAACCATACTTTAATTAGAATGTGTGATTAAAAAATATATATCTAATCACACTTATTTAAAAAGTGTAATTAAAAGGTAGTAGTGTATATATAATCACACTTTAATTAGAATGTGTGATTAAAAAAATATATATATATATAATCACATTTAATTGAAAAGTGACATAAAAAATGAATATTATTACACTCAATCAAATTAAGTGTGATTAAAATATCAATCTAATTTTTTTTTATCACACTTTCAATAAAAGTGAGATATTTTTTTTTGTCAAAGCGTGATATTTAACTATTTTTGTAGTAGTGCTTGTTACTTTAGTAAGTTATTTTAGTTTTTGGTTATTTTGATCATTTTGATTGAATTTTTTTTATAGTTGGATATGATATTTGTAAGAAAAAAGTGAAATAATTACAGGTTTAGTGTGATATTTTATCTTATTAACTATTTTAGCTTATTTTGTTTTTTTGTGAATCTTAATCTTAAAAAGGCTAAAATTTTTCTTGCCAAATACCACCTATATTTGGTTAAGACATTACAGGAAATTAGGGATTTAACGGCGTTCGATTAACAGTGTTTTATTAAACGTCACTATTTCTAATAATTAACGGCGTTTTTTAAAAATCACATTTATTATTAATTAAAACGATACCGTTTGTGAATAAAAGACGTTTGAAAAACGCCTCCAACTTCAGTCTCTCTTCAAACCCTCTTCTGTCTTTTCAAACTTTTATTTTGAAAACCCTATTTTGAGCATCGTCGTCCAGACGATTTTGAAAACCCTATTTTGAGCACCACCGTCTAAACGATTGAATCCTGTCTCACTCATTCTCTTTCTCTCAAAGGATTGAATCTGTTTGATAGAAGAAAAAAAAAGTTCTCTCTCTCAATTCTTCTTCAGTCTCTTACTCAGTGATTCTTCTTCGATTCTTCTTTAATTTTGTGATTCATCTCGGGATTGCGATTTCGAAGTTCGATTTTGAGCACAGCTCCATGATTTATCTTCGCGGATTTAGAACTCTTCGTTTTCTTCGATCAGAGGTTAGTTGTTCTGTTTGTGATTTATCTCTGTTTTGGATCAATGTTTTGCTTAGTGAATACTTTTGTTTAGGGCTCTATATAGGTCTTAAGCCCTTAGGGCTCTCGATTCTTCTTCACTCTCTTACTTGGTGATTCTTCTTTGATTCTTCTTCAGTTCGGTGATTTATCTCGGGATCAGATTGTCAATGGAAGAATTTGTGGAGACATCTCAGTATCCCTTGCTTTTGGCGACATGCGATTGAAGACAAAGAAGAATGAGTATATTCTCTCTTCCTTTCCTACTAACATGAATAGAGGGTCCATTATTACATACATTCCTAATGATTTGTCTCTGTTTTCAAATGAAAATGATGCTGGAGAAGGGAGTTAAGGAAGAGAGATGGTCACAAAAATTTGTTTCTCAATGTGTTGTCTCAAACATTTTCAATTTTTTGTTTATCTATCCTTTTTGCACTCCTGTATCATAAGAATGCCCTCATGAATCCATTGGTTATAAATTTGCAGTGCACTCTCTTATTATTATCTTCCTACTGTCCTAAAACAATGGTATCAGATCAATCAAAAGGCAAACCAATTGCCTTGGGTAGTTCAGGACTTGTAGTTCTATTTACAGCTTAGCTAATTTTGAGTGTATTAGATTGCTTTGACAACAAACACATTTTGTTTTGCGCCAGAATAAAATTCAGTGGAGACTTGGTTACTGTAACTCCCGATATTTTTCAAGTTCCTCTTAGCTCAGATGCATAATTTATACTATTAGCATCTGATGGTTTATGGGATTACATGAATAGGCTTGTGGTTTCCTGTTTGAACCTTGTACTTACATTCTGTAATTTATCTTAAATTAGCACGATAGTTATTTATTTAATATTTTTCTCAATTAACCACACGATGAGTATCATCTCGTCAACTTTGCTATTGTTTCAGCTTAGAAGCAGTTAATTTTGTTAGGAATCAGCTTCAGCAACACAGAGATGTTCAGGTAAAAAATTTGCCTCAATTCTGGTATACTGGTGTCATGGTTTACAAAGTTTTAACGTTTTTTGTTTTGATTTTAGTTAGCTTGTGAGGCGCTTGGAAGAGCAGCTCTAGTAATGGATGCGTTGATGTTTATTTTTCTTGCACAATGCTTGATCATACTTGATCATACTTGTATTGTTTGGTTGTTCTAATTACCTACAAATTTGTGTATATTACAGGACCGACGTTCACGAGATAATATCAGCATCGTCATTGCTGATTTGGGGTATGCACTTGTATGCATTAAGTTAATTTAATCTAATGTTTTCGATTCTAATCTAATGTGTTAATCTATTGTACTGATATTAACCTTTCTAATTTGGTCCTGGCTGTGACTTTTTGTAGGAGGACAGATTGGCAAAGTTTGCCTCGTCAGAAAGAAAATTTTGTTTATGAACTGGGCCAAGCTTTTGCCACTATCGGTATTGTGTCATTAGGAATATGGATGTTTTCTCTACTTTCTACATGAGTTTTCAAGCTTGCTGACTTTGTAAATAAATACTCACGAATTTTCAATATATTTTGTGTCTAGATATATTCTGTAATTGTACATGTATCACATCTTATTGGTATTAATCAATGTGTCTCAGAAGAATCTCAAAGGATTGTCATTTACATTCATTAAAGTATTGTACCAACTATGGTGCAAGGATAAATTCACTTACAATTGCTTTTATAAATCATTATACTTTTAGAGCGATTTCTTGCTGATTGAAAAGCAATTAAGATTTGAGGATGCCTGCTAAATTTCAACTCTTTCGTGTCCTTGTTAGGATACTTTATAGAAATTCAAGTGCCAATTAAACATTAGCTTGGTATATGCAGAAAAATTAGTTTAGAAACTAGGAAGCCAATTTTCTCTAATATTCTATGACATGCAGAGATGTGTGGTAGAACCTTTTGTCAATGAAAGGTGAATTGTGCTAGATTGACGGGTACTTTGCGGAAAATGAAGTCTGGAATATGTTGTCAATTTATTCTAATTCAATGCCTTGGTTCCGTTTGGTTCTCTTGTTCAGAGCAAAGAGGGAAAAACATCATAGCCACTTTCAACCAATCAAAGGCATGGAAGTTCTCCAAACAGGTATTCAAAAGTTTGGAAAGTTGTGAGAATCTTTTGCGGTCTTGTGTGATGGGTGATCCTCAAGAAATTTGTGGTTTGATTCTTTAAGGAAACATGTTTTAGTTATTGTTCTGGAGTAATTGCTCATAACACTTGGACAATGCTCATGTTATTCCTTAAACCCTGCACCACCAAGCTCGAATCAGCCCTAATATTCCTTACCTTTTGGCCTTTAATTTTAACGTCTAAACAAGATAAGTAGTTGGTGTTCCTTTTTTCTTTTTTTAACCTCCACCAACACTCTGGCCACCAACTCCAGCACACATCTTTGACCACCCCACGCCCGGCTACCACCAACAAATTGCCAAACATGTTCCTTTATTTTTGTTTTCATTTGTATTCAAAACAAATTACACCAAAAAAGTTTTTATTTGGTTTCTTGTTTTATGTAACAACATTATCAAACAATCCCTTAGGAATTGGTTTTTGATTTTCTGAAGGCATGTATGTTCTTTAACTTCTATTTCTGGTTATTATTTTTGTTTTGCAGTTTTGGTAATCCTTTCACCAACTATAATGAAGATGAGAACTTTAAGTCTGAACAAGGAAGAGGCTCCAGTAATGATCTAGCAAATCCTGTAGTTCAAGAGAGTTCTAATTACCCTAATTATCAATCTTACATGAAGAAAGCACCAAGGTCAAGATGGTAAAAACAAGACACATAATTGTTCTATGAGGTAAATCTTGTCGTAGTTTCAGATTTTATTTGTAGTATTACTGGAGAAACCTCTTTTTGTATCTCAATTTAATATTTGATATAGAAAGATGAAAACTTATGTATATCCATGCATGCTAGAGCTAAAATTGAAGTTAAAGTTCAGACTTTGTTTATGAGGCATCAGGAAACTAGGCAAGACTGTAGCATGAGCTGTTTATAGGAAAAACAATTTGAGCAAAAATCATCTAACTTCTTATTATCATAACGCTTGATCAATGTGTCATTTAAAACAGATTTTCATTATTCATTTGCTTAATTATCTCTCTCATGCTTTTTTTCTCAAATTGATCTTTTGAGGGGAATGCAATGTCAAGTTTCTACCCTTTTTTTTTTTTTTTTTTTTTTTTTTTTTTTTGAGTTTAGTATTTTTAGCCACTCCAGAAACAGCTACTTATGTTGCCAATGTATTGCGATCTTACGATGGGTCAAGTATTTGCATTTTTGGAATTTGGTATTTTTCACTCTTGGAGGTGGCTTTTTGTTTGTTTTGAAGTGTGGAAAATTTAGTTACATAATCTTTGCTTTCCACAATTTTTGTTTTGGTACTGAACTTCTAATCCAAGAACGGCAGCATAGATCTTGCTGTTGCATTCTACATGAAACCAATTTGTACCTCAATGGTGAAGGCTTTATGAATAGAGAAGACTTTTACCTCTCATGCATTATAGTATCAAAAATTGGGACATTAAAGCAATTACTTAATGAACTTGGTAATGAATTTGTTGGTTTCATCTAGAAATGCCAATGTGGTATAAGAAATATGATAGTAACAGTCTTTGTGGAGTGCCAACATGTTATTTCAAACCTCTACGTCACCTTTAACTCATTTTTGAGTTCTTTCTAAGGACTTAAAAGAGTGGTCATTCATGAAGTTGTATGTGCTCTAGTTTATTTAAGCACAACGTTTTGTTCCTGAGTCAACCAGTTTATGGACTAGCCCTAATTGTTTTGACTTTATCGGCTTCATGTTCGAGCTTGTAAATGAGTGAGAAACTAGACTCAAAGTGGCTGTACTAATATTTATCTAATGTTGAAACATCTCTATTGTAAATTCTCAGTTTTACTTGTATAATACTTGGGCGCAGATGATGTAGAATAGAAGACAACCTAGCATCTGCCATTGTGGTGACAAACGAAGATAAATAATTGGCAATTTCTCAGCACAGAAATGAGCGCAGATGGAGGTCACTTGAGTAGAGGATGTAAGTAGCTCTGCTAGGAGTAGGACTTGCACTTTTAGTAGAGACTTGTCCATCTTACTTTGATTAAAACCATGGATAGGTCACTATACATTCTTGCAGCCTGGCTGTTATATGCTGATTGTAGTGTTGACCGGTGTTTTCCTCAACAAGTTGACATTGTAATCTCTCTCTCTCTCTCTCTCCCTCTCTCCTCTGTGCTGCTGCTGCTGCTTTGGGTTTGTGTTGGAGTTAGTTGCTACTGCTACTTTGTGTTTGTTCATCTTTCACTCTCTTATTGTACGGGAAAGAAATAAACCTTCTCGTATAATCCTGTTGACTAAGTCTGCGCTCCTCCGTACGATGTTGCTTTGTCACCTGAAAACATAAACGTGAGCTAGCCGGCGGGTGTGTGCCGGAAACCTCTCCGATGCCTAAGTCTGTAAGCTTGACAAATAGACAAAAGCTCTGTGTAAAAAGCAAAGTTGTGTGTTACCTCCTCCAAGGTAATGTTTGTGAGCTTTTATAAGTTTTGTGTGGCACAATCCTAGTAGGACTCATACTTCTCCATGCAGAGTCCTCCTAGGATTCATACTCCTGAAAGATAATGGTTATCCTTCAACACCCCCTTCACTGCTTAAACTAAGTGAGATGGTTTCTACCATGGCCGAGCTACCACATGACCGAAATAATACTGGCTATGCTGAGCCACAGAGGAGGCCGAACTATCCTCAGTTCGGTGCTTGCTTTTACTCCTCCTTATCTCGGTTCTCTCCTGCTCAACCCATGGCGTGGTTGGACCGAACTAATGAATCACGACCGGTATAACTCCAAGACCGGTCTAACTCCCAATTGCTTCTGGACCGAAGTAACTTTACATTTCTTCTGGGCCGGAGTAACTTTATCTTTCTTCAACCGGAGTAACTTTATCTCTCTTGGGCCGGAGTAACATTGCGGCCTTTTTACCCAGTCCTTCGTACTTTGGGCCACAAAGTCCATCTCACAACTCGGCCCAATTTTCACCAAAAATTACCCTCTCAGTTCTTAATGCTTGAAATGGTTGGTTTATTTTATTTTATTTTTTTTCTTGTTGCTGCAATTCTTATTCCTTCAATTGATATTAGAGCTTTGCGGAAGACTTGGAAGTTGCTGCAAAGTTGTATATTTCTTATTGGTTAGACTTAGAAGCTATTGCAAAGTCACTTTAAAGCAGCAGCTAAGATGAGAGCCTTGAAGGTTATAATTGTTAAAATACCTTATGGGGTTCTATGCAAATTTTTTGGCAAATCACCTCTTTTAAATGTTGTTCATTTCACATTGTTGAGACCTACTCTTGAAGTTTAAGTAATTTGACTTCTTCTTGACCATTTTGATTTTAATTTATGTATTTAAAGTTTGAACAAAAATTGTTTCTATTCTTAGGTATGCAATACATTGTTTCTTATTTTTAATTTTGTTTTCAAGCTTAGTTTATTTATTATTTTAATAAACATCAATTATTAGTTTTTAATAATTGTTTATGATAGGTCTTTTTAGTTCAACCATATAAAATTAGCACAACTTAAAAACTTTAAAAAAAAAGGCTATGGCGGCGTTTTTTAAACGTCACTATATCCCAACCCCAATGGCTAGATTTTTAAAATATATAAATGTCTATGACGGCATTTCAAAAACGTCACTAAATATCATAGTGACGTTAGGGTAGGACATTTGGCGGCGTTTTTAAAAAACGCCGCCTATACTAATATAACAACGTTTTTTAAACGTCATAAAACTATAGCGACGGCCGCGTTGTCAGCGTTTGGTACTAAACGTCATAAAAAGAATTAGCAACGTTTTTAGTACCTATAGAGGCATTTTTAAAACGCCGCTAAAAGTCAATTTTCCAGCAATGAGATTAGAATATAGCAATGAGATAAGATCGAGGGATCATACAACAATGCTAGGGACACAGAATTTTACATACTGAATGACTTCCTTTCTCTCTCCACACACACAGGCTATGTGAATCGGATTTCATATCTAGTCACCCAACTAATGATGTAGAAAAAATGTTGGGAGACATACAGACCTATATGCTTTTCTATACTCTTTATATCCCGTCAAAGGGGTTTGTCCCCTCCATGTACTCTCATCAAACAATTCTATATTTAAGTTCTTATCAAAATTGATGAAATTTGTGACAAATTAACTAAAGTTACTAAATACAAAATTTTTAAAATATTTAAATTGTTCATCTAAATGCAAAGTTCAAAAATAAAAAAATAAAATTATAGGAGACATTTGGCTTCTTTCCTTTTTCTTGTTTTGTTCATTCAAATAAAATGGTGAAAAATCAAAATCATACTGTTAGACAACAGTGTCACCTGATGTTCAGAAATTAGGAAGCGGGCTAAAAGTCACTAGTGCCTGGTCAATTGCAATTCCAAATTTGTGAGTTTTTTCAAAAATTCTAATTTAGAATTTCTAAGTCTTCAACGAGGGCATGATGAAAGCAACTTTGGAAATTTAGTACCTTTTAAACACCGCAACCACCCCCTCCCCCTCTCAAAAAAATAAAAATAAAAAACAAAAAAATAAAAAAACAAAAAATATCACTTTACTTCAAATAACTCAGCTTCCCCCTCCCTCTAAGAAAACATCTCACTTGCCTAAGATTTACCAGAAAATCCTGCACTGAAAAGTGGTGCTTAGCATACCTTGGTTTCAACTACAATGCAATTCTCACATTTATCACTTCACATAGCTCCGCCAAGTTTGGAATAGAAGCATTAAACACTGTATCATTCCCGTGTTTCTAGAGAGACTACAATACAACCAGAGGCACTCCTCTCCAAATCTTTCTCTCTTGACTCCTAAAACATTGTCCTTCATACCATAATAGAATTCCTTTAACAGATTCAGGTAAAACCCTCACAACATCCCACCAATTCAGCATTGCAAACCATACATTCTAAGAAAATGGGCACAAAACCAACCCATGATTCACTGTTTCCAACTCAGTCTTACAGAAAACACACAATGTTGAACCAGAACTGTAAAGGACACCAATTCTTTGTAAGAAGACTAAAGTCTTAATTCCATTTCTCCAAGCTAGCCAAGTAAAGAATTGGATTTTTGGAGGCACGTAAGGAATCCACACCAATTTAGTAGATCTTAACAGAGGGCTTGTTGGAACTAACAAACCTTTATAAACAGAGCACACTGAGAACACCCCTGAGGATGTCGCATTCTACACTGGACTATCTACTTGATCTGCTACAAGACTTGGTGCTGTTACAAGAAAGTTTCTAAGCCTTAAAACCTCACTAACCTCCCTATCATACAACCTTCTCCTGAACTAACACACCCAATTTCCTTCAGCAACCTTTTTGCTATGCATTGATCTAAGTGATTCCTCCTTATCTACCACCAAGTCATACAAACCAGGAAATTCCTCTCTAAAACATGTACTATTCTACCATTTATCTATCCAGAATCTAACATTATTCCCATTCCCGATCTTTAACTGAAAGTTGTTCATATAATACTCCAAAAGGGTGTTATTTGACTTTGCGATAGTAATTATGTCTTTCCAAATACTAGACATGGTACTAGTGGTAGAAGTAGAATGAACCCAATCCCTGAAGTCCACTTTATACTTACTACAAATAACTCTTCTCCACAATGCTTCATTTTCATACCCAAATCTCCACCAGCATTTGATTAGTAAACAAGAATTAACTACCTTCACTCTTCTCAGCCCCAGACCCCTTTGTTCCAAGCTTTTAGTCAGTTCCACCCGTTTGACCATATGTACCTTTCTTCTTACTTCTGATTCTCCCCAAAGAAATGAAGCATGCAATCTCTCCAACACTCTAGCTATCCCATTAGGCATTTTAAATAAAGACAGATAATACACAGGCAATGATACAAGAATAGATTTAATGAGAGTAAGCCTACCGGCATGGAATAAAAGGTTCCTCTTCTAGCTAGCTAGTTTGCTTCTCACTTTATCCAACATTGGTCTTCAGGTCGCTTTACAATTGGGATTAGCCCCTAAGGGCAGCCCTAAATATTGCAGAGGCAGCTTATTGGTCTTGCAATTCAGTATAGCAGCAAATCTGTCCAAAGGACCATCAAGAACACCCACTCCACAAACCTGACTTTTATGGTAATTAATCCTCAACCTAGACATAACCTCAAAACACCGTAAGATCCTCTTCAGGTTTCTAACCTCCTCATCTTCAGCTTCAGACAAAAGTAAAGAATCATCCGCAAATTGCAAATGAGACAACACCACACCCCCAACACCTATTTTCACCCATTTAATAATACCCAACTGGTATGCCCTAGTTAATAACACATTTAAACTCTCAACCACCAAGTTAAATAAGAATGGGAACAATGGATTTCCTTGTCTAATATCCCTTTGTGGACAAAACTCATTAGTAGGAGAACCATTAACAAAGACTGAAATACGAGCTAATGTAACATGCTCCATGATCCATTCTGTCCATCTTAAACCAAAACCAAAATTCAGAAGCATTGAGTGTAGAAATCCCCAATTTACTAATCATAGGCCTTCTCAAAGTCAAGTTTAATTATTACTCCCTTTTTCTTAGACTTCTTCCATCCATCCATCACTTTATTCGCAATAAGTATACCATCAAGGATATTTCTGCCCCCAAGAAAAGCTGATTGAGTTTCACTGATAACATAAGGAGGCACTGCTTTTAGCCATTTTGACAATACCTTGGTTAAAATTTTATACACTGAACCAACAAGGATAATAGGCCTAAAATCATAAAGTCCCATAGGGTTCTCCTTTTTAGGAACAAGAGTGATAAAAGAGTTATTCAATCCCTTCACCAATCTACCATTCTTATGGAAATCCTTCATAAAATTGATCACATCCCCTTTCATCATCTTCCAGAATTTTTGAAAACAAAGAATATTGAAACCCATCACGCCTAGGAGCCTTATTACCATCACAATCCTTCATAGCTACCTTAATCTCTAACTCTGAAAACTCTGCCTCAAGCATTTTAAACAGAGGACTGTTTTGAATTGATTTGAATATGCCACCTAACTTAGGCCTAACCACCCACTCCTCTGCATAATGCTTCCTAAAGTGATCATATACTTCCCTCCTCACATGATTAGGTTCCTCAATCACTGAATCCCCTACTGTAATGGATACTAACTCATTCTTGCTTTGTCTGCTCCTAGCCATCACATGGAAGAATCTGGTATTCCTATCACCCTTCAATGCCCAGTTCAACCTTGAGTTTTGTAACCACATCCATTCAACCATCCTATTCAACCTCCAAACCTCCTCTCTAACTGCCCTTCTTCTAACTTTCTCAGTCGAATTAAGCTCTCTAGTTTCAGCCTCTAGGTCAAGGTTATGCACCTCATCCTCTGCTGCCTTCAATTTAAATGACACATTTCTATACACCTCCTTATTCCATATTCTGAGTATCTGCTTCAAAGCTTTCAATTTCTTGAGTAATACATAGCCAGTCCAACCATGTACCACAGTCTCCTTCCAAGATTTATCTACAAGTGAAACAAAGGAAGGGTGCAAACACCACGCATTTACAAACCTAAATGGCTTAGAACCCCAGTCCCTTTCATCCTCCATCACTAATAGAGGACTATGATCTGAAATGAGCCTAGGCAAACCCCACAATTTAAGCTCAAACACCTCCAACCATCGTGGGTCCACCTATACCGTGTCTATTCTACTCCATCTCTTCTCATCTGTTGAGTTACACCAGGTAAACTTTATTTCCAATAATGGCAAATCATTCACTTCACACTTCTTAATGAACTCATGCAAATCTGCTATACCCCTATCCCTCCTAGAGCAGCCTTTCCTTTCACTTATATATTCGATCTCATTAAAATCCCCACATAAGTACCATGGTTTAGGAAAGTCCTCTTTTAGTTTAAACAAGTTATCCCAAAATTTCCCTTTAGCTCCCACTTCATTAGGTGCATACAAATTCAAAATCACACATTCAAAAGAGTTAAACAACATACCAGATAACAAAATAAATCTCCTACTGCTGTAGCAATCTACTTACTGGAATACCTGAGGATCCTAAATGCAAAGAAGCCTACCAGCAGATCCTTCTGAGCCCATTGCCATATACTCCATTCTATCCCTTCCCTAAATTGCTCTGACTTCTTTATCTTGGATATCTACCTTCTTAGTTTCTTGAAACAAAATAATATCTACACTCCTCTCCTTCAGCAACTTCCTAATCTTTCCTTTCTTCTTACTCCTACCAATACCTCTAATATTCCATACTAATATCTGCCTTCTTAGATAACTGTGTCACTTGATGTTCAGAAATTAGGAAGCGATGCTAAAACTCACTGGTGCCTGGTCAATTGCAATTCCGAATTTGCGAGTTTTTTAGAAATTCTAACTTAGAATTTGTAAGTCTTCAACAAGGGCATGATGAAAGCAACTTTGGAAATTTAGTACCATTTAGTACCTTTTAAACACCTCCCCCCCCCAAAAAAAAAAAAATCGCATTACTTCAAATAACCTAGCTTTATATATAGAGTAATTATTAAGTTTTTCATGAACATTTATTGATTATGTACTCACCAAATAATAAGGTTATATAGTTATAAAGTTTGAAAAACAATATCAATAATAGATATATCATCATGAACAAGGACACAACACGAGGTATTCTGGACCTATGATAATTTAGGAATTAGGGTTTAGGATGTATTAAAATACAAATACAAAGTCAAGTCTCATTCCATCATGTGGTCAAACAAAACAAAAAAAAGTGCAGGCTTCCAAACAATGTGAAATCAAGTTCATGTTTTACAATCTTCCACATCAAATCAAATAAAAGATGTCCTTTGGTATGAAATCAACAATAGATTTGAACATTGTTCCATTGTAAAAAAACAGATGTGGTTTCTATTTTGTTTTGATTTTTTGTTTAACTTTTTAACCAAGTTATCAGTTGAATTATATTGACACAAGGTAAAATTTAAAATCAAAATTAATATGATTGAAACTATAAAGACTAAAATAATACAATAAATAAATAAATATATTTCTTCCTTTTAAGAAACTTTCGAATACTTGAAATAACACAAGAGTAATAGATTTTGTATTTAAGAGCAGCCCTTGTATTAAACACAGCGGGTCAGATGAGCAACTTACATGTCAATTTCAAAGATCAGCAATAGCTTTTGTGTTTACTATTACTGTTGAAAAATTTATAAAGAGGTAGTTGTGAATTGAAATAGACTCCGTTTTAAATGAAAGGGTGTAAACTTTCATGGTGTCTTTTTGTTTTATAGAAAGGGTCAAACCTCCATTTGAATGAAATGGTGCAAACCTTTCATGGTGTCTCTTTATTTTAAAAGAAGGGTTATGTCCCTTCTTCATACCTTTTCTATTCAAATTGAATAGGTGCCAACAAAGCCTATATAAAGGCAGCCCCATTCCAATTTTGATTTATTCTGAAAATTCATTTTCCTTGCCTTCATTTTGCTCTCTTGCGTCCTTTATTCTTCATATTATTTTAGGGAAAATTTCAGAGAGTTATAGAACACAAGGCTTTAGTTCGCCGGACAAATTTGTTTGAAGTACTACTACAAATTTGTAAAGATCATTGTATCCTGGGAGATAGACGCCACATAATCGTAAGCACCGTAGCGAGGCGAATCTGTCTTAAGGACAGAGTGTCACACACTCGACTTGGTCTTTGAATTATTTATTCGGTTCTACAAAATAAATACTGTAAGTTTTATTTTATTTTGTTTGGATTGTTTCAATTTATTTCATTTACACAGAAGATTGTTCCAACAATCTTAAGACAGATTCGAATTATTCTGTTTATAGAATTTTTCGTTTATTTCCTTTTCTCTTTCTTCTTTTAAGAAAATTATTTTCTGTGGATTTACAAAATAATATTCTGGTTGGAAAAACAAATAGTGATTATATGCTATTTGACAGATAGTAGTAATATACTGTCTATTTTCTTTGACACCTAGTAGTAATATACTGGTGTCATTAACAATTTAGAATATATTTTTGTGGAAATTTTTCAGAAATTAATTTTGGTTTTTAGAAATTACTTTCTGAGTTTTCATTAATTAAAATTCTGTTTCAGTATTTTAATTATTGAAGTGTTACAGAAATTTAATTTTCTGTGTGGAATTAATTTTGGTTAAATAAAATTTTATTTTATTTCTAAATTAATTGGAAAATAAAAGTTATATTTTTGTTTCTTTTATTTTTACAGAATTTAATTCTGTGAATTTGGTTTAATTTTCTCTGTAGTATAAAATTTTAATTAAATTTTATTTTATAATTTAGAATTTATGGCTACTAAAACTGGTCAAACTAATGTTCAAACCAGTACTGGTATGGTGATTGCCATTACGACAACCTCTCCTTATGTTGGGATTGTGCCAGTGAATAATGGAGAAAAGCCAGAGAAGTTCTTAAGAACTGATTTTTGCAAAGGCAAAGGAAGAACAAGTAAGAAGGCTACTAAAGCCGATATGACCGAAATGGATGAAATTTCCAATGGTGTAGATGTCATAAATCTTTCTGCAGTTGTTTCTGAGGCAAATCTTGTCAGAAATCGTAAAAAATGGTGGGTGGACATTGGTGCTACTCGCCATATTTATGCCGACAAAAAGATGTTCACATCTTATTCTACAATGGACAATGGTGAACAACTTTTTATGGGCAACTCCTCAACTTCCAAAGTTGAAGGACAAGGAAAGATTGTACTAAAGATGACATCAGGAAAGGAACTCACTCTCAATAATGTGCTGCATGTACCAGACATTCGCAAGAATTTAGTTTCCAGATCTTTGTTGAGTAAGAATGGGTTTAGGCTAGTTTTTGAAAGTGACAAGTTTGTACTTACCAAAAATGGGATGTATGTAGGAAAATGTTACATGTCTGATGGCCTTTTCAAGTTAAATGTAATGACCGTTGTACCCTCAGTTATTAATTATAATACATCTTCTTCTTACTTGCTTGAGTCTTCAAATTTATGGCATGGTAGACTAGGACATGTTAATTATGGATCTTTGCGTATATTAATTAATATGGAATGTTTACCTAAATTTGACATTGATTCAAATCATAAATGTGAAATTTGTGTTGAGGCAAAATTATCTAAAACTCATTTTCATTCAATTGAAAGAAGTACGGAACCACTTGAACTAATTCATAGTGACATTTGTGATTTCAAATCAATTCAAACCAGAGGTGGAAAAAAGTATTTTATCACTTTTATAGATGACTAAACTAGATATAGTTATGTTTATTTAATTCGAACCAAGGATAAAGCTTTGGAAACTTTCATTCAATATAAGAATGAAGTTGAGAATCAACTTGGTAAGAAAATCAAGAAAATAAGAAATGATAGAGGTGGTGAATATGAATCACCTTTTGGTGAATTTTGTAAAGAACATGGAATAATTCATCAAACCACCGCTCCATACTCACCTCAGCAAAATGGAATTGCTGAAAGAAAAAATAGGACTTTAAAAGAAATGATGAATGCCATGTTAATCAGTTCTGGATTACCTCAGAACTTGTGGGAGGAAGCAATACTTTCTGCTAATTATATACTTAATAAAGTACCCCGAAAGAAAGTGAATCAAACACCTTATGAATTGTGGCGTGGAAGAGTACCATCCTATAAATACTTAAAAGTGTGGGGGTGTTTGGCGAAAGTGGCTATTCCTAGTCCTAAAAAGACTAAGATAGGTCCTAAGACCATTGATTGCATTTTCATTGGTTATGCCAAGAATAGTAGTGCATATCGATTTTTAATTAATAAATCAGAACATTCCGAAATGCGCGTAAATACTATTATTGAGTCTCGAAATGCATTATTCTTTGAACATGTATTTCCAAATAAGACTAGACAAGAGACTAGTAACAAAAAGAGATCTCATGATTTTATTACTAGTCAGGATCAAGAAGATGATCAAGAGCAAGAGTTAGATCAAAATGAGGAAGAGAAACCTAGGCGTAGTAAACGTGCTAGAACCTCAAAATCTTTTGGTCCAAATTTTCTTACATTTTTGTTAGAAAATGAGCCTTTAACATTTAAAGAGGCTATGTCCAGTCCTGAAGCTCCTTTATGGAAAGAAGCTATCAATAGTGAAGTTAAATCCATCTTGCAAAATTACACTTGGGAATTGGTGGATTTGCCACCAAGTTGTAAACCTCTTGGGTACAAGTGGATTTTCAAATGAAAATTGAAAGCGGATGGATCAATTGACAAATACAAAGCAAGACTTGTGGTCAAAGGATTTAGACAAAAAAAATTTCTTGATTAATTTGACACATACTCACCGGTTACTAGAATAACATCCATTAGAATGCTAATTGCCATTGCATCTCTATACAATCTAGAAATTCCTCAAATGGATGTGAAAACCGCTTTCTTAAATGGTGATTTAAATGAAGAAATTTACATGGAACAACTAGAAGGTTTTTCTGTTCCAGGAAAAGAAAAGAAAGTGTGTAAATTGGTTAAATCATTATATGGTTTAAAACAAGCGCCAAAGCAATGGCATGAGAAATTTGACAAGACAAGGATGTCAAACGGATTTAAAATTAATGAGTGTGAC